ACCAGTACAGCAGGGACACTGGATGGCACCTCCCCTGCCTGCCAACCTCTCCACTCTGGAAACCAAGTCCAATGCCATCAGTCCTGTTGAAAATCCTCTGCACTGCCCTCTAATGGAGTGGGGGCATGTGGTTCAGGCTCCTCCGCTCTGGCCATTGGTGATATACTCCATCACCTCCCCTGCCAGGCCTAGCTTTGAACTACATTCCTCTGGACTATATGCCAGTATATCCATGACCATGTTTAGTAGACCTGGCTTGTGTGACGGCTATTCTTGGTTGTCAACTTGACTACATCTGGAATTAACTAAAACTCAAATGGCTGGGCACACCTGTGAGAGATTTTTTTTTCTTAATCAAATCATCAGGGCCGGGCTGTGGTGGCGCACGCCTGTAATCCCAGCACTCGGGAGGCAGAGGCAGGCGGATCTCTGTGAGTTCGAGGCCAGCCTAGGCTACAGAGTGAGTTCCAGGACAGGCTCCAAAGCTACAGAAAAACCCTATCTCAGAAAAAAAAAAATCATCAGAATTGAGAAGTCCCTCTTCTAGTCCAGATCCTTGAGGTGGGAAGATCCAATGCCATCAGTCTTTAATCTTTTAATCTGGGCCACACCTTCTGCTGGCAGCCTGTAGAAGGACATGGAATAAAGAAGATTGCTCTCCCTCTGGCTGGCAAGTCCATTCCTTTACTGGCATTAGAGCCTCCTTCTTCAAGATTCCAGCATATACTGAAGACCAGCTGAGACATCCAGCCTTGTGGACTGAACGATTACTGGATTCTTAGATCTTCCACTGGCAGACAGTCAGTGTTGGACTAGCTGGATCCCAGCCTGTAAAGCCACTCTAGTAAATCCCCTTTATATACATACATACATACATACATACATACATACATATTCATATTTATATATAATATATGTTCATGTTTATATATAATATATTCATATTTATATAATATATTAATATATAATATATTATATTCTCTATATATTTGGTATATATATATATTCTTTAAGTTATGTTCCCCTAGAGAACCCTGACTAACACAGTTTGTTCACTGTTCTAACACCAACAGGTCTGAAAAGTCCCCACCAAGTGCTACTGAACCCAGTGAGTGGTGCCTTGTAAGTCCCTTCCTGTTTTGGGAAGTCTCACAGACAGAACAGAAACCAGGCTGTGAGCAAGTGAGAAAGCTCCAACATACAGATTAGACTGGTAGTTTCTCAATTCTGTAAGGGCAGGGAGGGGCTACCCAGGAGGCCGTGACAGAGGCTCTGTGTGTGCCAGTGGGGTCCTGAGGGCATCCACAGAACCCCAGCAAATCCTCCTCTGCCCTGAAGCTAGGCCAGCCTGGGGCCTGAGGATCCTCAAAAGAGCCTGAACAAGAACAAAAGCTTGTACATGCCATCCTGCACAAGGCTGTAAGGGTGAGAGATAAACCTGGGGTTTATAAACCTCCAGCCCTTCTCAGAGGACACCACCTACTGGATAGTGGCTGTAGCAAGAATTCCTACCCCCATCCTAGGCTGAGTCACTCTAAAGGGCAGTGTGGGAAAGGGCTGGGCCGGAAATGCGTTTTGCATCCCTAAATAACCCCTGGCAGCCTCAGAAGGTCATTGGGTTAGAGCAGAAGCCGCTGCCAGAGAGATGAAGCCGACTTTCAGTCCTGGCATGGTCTGCTTGGAGGCCACCCTTCCTGCTTCAAGCCTTCTTTTCTGAGGCTCATGGCTCCCTAGCTTCTATGAGATTTGGCCAGACTCCTCCTCTCTCCATGGACCAGCCAGTGGGGCGAGGACTGTTGGCTACCGTCTCACATCATTATTCCAGGATCGGGTAAACTCGGTGGCTAAGCATCTTCAGGCTCCCGATTAAGCCATAGAACCACAGCCCCTTCCTAACTCAGGTTTGTCTCCCACAGGCCTTTCTTGGCTCTTTCATTCCCAGCCACCAGCTCCCCTGTATTGCCCAAGGATCCTACCAGCACCAAGTGATATTCTTTGGAAGTTGAGACCTCTTCTATAGGGCTAGATAGGGATGACTTGATATAAGCAGAGTTCTCGATATCTTTTTTTGTTTGTTTGTTTTTTCGAGACAGGTTTTGTCTGTGTAGCCCAGGCTGTCCTGGAATTCACTCTGCTGGCCTTGGACTCACAGAGATCCAACTGCCTCTACCTCAGTAGTGCTGGGACTACTACTCCAGGGTGCTACCACCACCCGGTTGAGTTTTTGTTATCTTTAGTTCAGAACATGCCAACAAAATCACAACCAGCAGAACAAGGTGGGATCAGTCTAGACCACCTCAAGATAGCAGCTGCCCTCTCTGAAGAGTGGGCTGACTTCCATAAGCAGAAGGTAAAGGATACACTTTAGCTTGGCTTACTCTAGCGGACCCCCCTCAGCAATACCCACATCTCATAAGCAGGTCTGAAGCCAGTAACCTGGTTGATTTCAACCAGGAATTACTTTGGTTTGTATTTACTGCCAAGGAGAATCAGATGCCACAGCAGGATCAGACCCCGGCTCCTTCCGAGCACAGTCACTTGCCTAAGATAGCTTCTGGGAATGCCTAGGCTCAATCAATCTGCCTCCTTTAGCCCCTTTAAGATCTCTGGGAGTCTCGGTGTGTACCACCAAGCCAGGCTTCTGTCTCAAGGCTTTTTTGTAAAAATAATATTCTAGATCCTGGGTCCACTGTTAGATTCACCTGCCTCTGGCTCTTGAGTGCTGGGATTAAAAGGGTGCGTCACCACTGTCCAGCCAGCCTGGGTCCACTCTTAACATAGTGTCTCACATTCTGACAACTAAGAACAAGGAGCTTTTGTTCTTCCTGTTGCTTTTGAGGCACCCCTGGCCCTCTGCTCAGCAGCTCGTCCTTCGCTCTCCGCCTCTGAAGCCTCCTTCAGCTTAAGGCACTCAGGTCTTACCCTCCACTCCCACCACCCCCTGGTCCAGGTGTGCTCAACACCACACAGGGAAACATCTATTTCTGGCATCTAATTCCATGGTCATCTGTCTGTCTCGCCAGATGTGGCCCTTCTGCTGACACTGACTTGCTCACCTTGGCGGCTCTCCGACGGGCACCCTCCCCACTCTCGGCTTCCTCATGGTCCTTGGCTCCTTGGGTGAGGTTGGTGTAGCTGACAAGCTTGCCCAGGAGAGATGAGACCTTTGGGCGTATGTCCAATTCTTCCTGTAAACAGAGCCACGGGGCAAGATGGCAATGAGCCAGGCCAGGCCATGCCAGTGTCGGGCTACCTGTGTGTAGCCAGCAGCCAAGCTGTTGGCCCAATGCCAAGCCCTAAGGCAGGCCTGGACTTGATCCCGGCTCTTGCCTGGGGAAGCCCAAGCCAGCTAACTGGGCAGGTGTGGGCACCACACCCCAGAAGGCAGCACTCAAAGGCCCAGCGGCCGCTTCTCTCTGCCCCACCTCGGCTGTAATCACTGCCAGCTCATTTGTGAAAATCACCCGCCTCAGGGGAGAAGGAAGGGCAGGCCTTGCTGGCAGACAGACAGACTGCACACTTCATTCTGCCTGCTGGGCCACTCTGACGCTATGGCTGGGTCTCTGGGATTTACATCTACCTCAATACAAGTGCATGCATGGGCACATACGCGTGTGTGTGTACACACACACACACACACACATACACACGTCACCCAGGCTACCTCAGGAAGACCAAGAAAGACAAAAGAGGGCTATCTGGAACAATTGTATTCCACTGTTTTCCTGAACCCCGACCTTTCTGCCTGGTGTCCTCAGGCCCTGGTCTAAACATATCTCAATTTCCAAGAGAAGATGTTTGTTGCCCCCGGGCTCCCCCCATCTTTAGGTGGGGACAGATCACAAGACGTCTAGCACTCAAGGGGTCTAAGGTTTCCATATCCCTGTGGCCTTAACACTGTGACCCTGCCACCTGCTGTGACACTCCCTGGCACCTGCCCACGGTCTTAATTAAGCGTTTGTCAGTCAGACCCTTTCTGACCCTAGACACAGGGAGCCTGGTTGGGGGTGATGAGTGAAGACAGAGGCTCGTTGGATGTGTGGAGACCAAGAAGCCTACATTACTTGGCTGTGAGGCAGATAGATGTACAGGTTCAGAGTTCAGGAATCTGAACCCTGTCTTAAATCCAGATCTTACTTCTCAGCTCAGGTCTAGGAAGGAAAAATTCCAGTTTGAAATTCCCACACACGTGGGGGAACCTTTCCAGAGAAGTGTCCACCATGGCTGTGGCTATGGAGGGCCGAGTGGGTCAGATGCAGGAGGAAAACTAGGCCTCTGTAAACAGTGTGTGTGTGTGTGTGTGGGGGGGGCACAGAGCTGGAAGAGCCAACCAGAAAAGGAAGACTCTATCTGCCACAGAGAGCACAGCTAAGGGCTGGGAGAAGCCCTAGGGATGGAGGGAAAAGGTGTGAGGAGGCAGCCACCTTGGTGAGGGGCTGCAAGGAAGGCAAAGGTGAGCAGCCCTGGAG